GAAAGAGTGCCTGAGAAAGTACCATCCCTGTCTCGTTCTGAGCTCCAGTCTGTATCTTGAGTATACAACCAACTCCTTGTGTAGTTTAATTGCCGTCTTGGATATTTGCCGTGACAAAAAAAAACCCACTTTCACAATGTCCACGTCTGTTTCCTGTTTCATAAAACCGTGTTTGTTACAGCGTAGAGCTATTGTCAGAGAGGAAGTACATGTATTAATTTATTTGATCCTTAAATGTCATTTAGAAACATTTAAAGGTTTTAAATGTTGACATTTAAACAAAATACTTTCGCAGTGATGCTTTATCAGTGAACTTCAGAAAAATTCTCATCTGTGTCAGAACACGGATCCTTGTAGGGTTAATTATCATTTCAATAGCTAGGCTATCCTGTTAAACTGTAAACTAGCTGTTCATTAAGGGTCAGGAAGAAAGATACCTCTTCTCAGCTTGTTGTCACAATGCAGAGGGTGCAGATTATATTAGTTCTTCAGTTAATCAAATAATGATTCATCAGTTAGGGTTTTGTAGGTTTGTGCAAGTACATAAAAAGATAAGGCAGCGGGGGAGGTTCCTCTCCAGGCCATTAAGCCTCAGAGGCTGCATGAGGTGCTCTGAGTGCTGCTTGCCTTTTGATCACCACAGAGTCTTGTGGCCCCACTCCGAAACCGGGCAGCAGGGCTTGCTGTCACGGTCTCATCAGCAGCTGGGTGATTCCACACCCAAGAGCATGTGATTTTGGTACTGGCCTCCTCGCCGGGCTTGGCGCTCGTGCTATGGCTCTTGCTGGCAGCGTAGGTACGGCAGCTCGGAGCTCACCTTGGGCGGCTCTGCCTGGTGGTTTTGTTGTCCCTAGTCTGTCAAGGCTGACTTGGGGTCTCCTTGGGTCACTGCAGTCTGTGGCACAGATGCACGCTCATTCTACTTCTTCTTGTCGTGTTCCCAAGGCAGTGTTTGCCCGTGAGGGCCCAGCAGCCTTCCCATCTGTGCTGTCCACCTTGGGATCCCACCGCAAAGGGGGCAGTCGAGGGAGCCTTGCTATCCCAGTCCAGCAGCTCAGTTTTTCCCCAGTGCCCTGACCCCTGGTCTAAAATGTGAAGAAGCCCAAGAGAAGGTGTCGTGCCGTACCAAAGAGCGTTGCCCTGTCTCCAGCCGTGGGCTTGCACAGTGCAGGGTAGGGAGGGGCCAGCCCATCATCACCATTATGTTTGCCTCTGCGCTGTGCTGTCGATAATGCTTCTGTAGAAAACCGTGCTAAAGTCCCAGCAGTCTTCCCTCTAGAGCATGTGGAAGTTCATGGTGAGCTGGAACGCCCTCTCCTGAAACAAAACGTGCTTAGTCTGCGTTTGGCTCTGCATCAACACCTCCGGCCGTACAGTGCTCAAGTTGAAAGCAGCTTACGTGGCTAGGTAGGGTCGGGGTTTGCTATGTAAATAATTCCTGCTTTTTGCTCTGGAAGAGCTTTGGGACTTGAGAAGAGAGGCATATAAACATAAAACTTCACTGTACTTTAGAAGGCTGTGAGGATGAGCTTATGGGTGAAGGATGTGAGCGTTGCAGGCTGTATGTGTACGTGCACATGTATGATAGACCTGCACAGATATGTTGAAAACTACAGCGTCCAAAAGAGATCTAGGAACACCTTTTTTTTCCTTGTAGCCTTCAATCTGAAAGTGGCATAAATGTCACTGTTAATGTTACCATTAAAGCAGTGTCATAAAGTGGTTATAATAATGGTGATACAGAATTTGTAGCTGGCTCTGTTCACAAAACTCTACCTAAAATTCTGTCCTGCCAAGGTGACAAACTTTAATGAAGAGAGTGGTTGATACAGTTTGAAAAAGTCAGGTGACAGCTGACATTCCCGTGCCTGAACTCCAATAGTGCCTATTTACTTGCAAGTACCAAAAAAAAAGGAAAATCAGGGGAAAAAAACCCCATAAATCCTTCCTCTAAAAGCTGAGTGGTGGTCCATAGTGGTGTTCTGTTAACCCCAAATGTTCAACTTCTGTATCAGCCTGACCAGTGCCTGACGGCAGATTCCATGCTTCCGAAATCTCCCCTCCTATGAGACTTTTGACCTTGCTTGTTGCTTCAGGTTGAGACAGTGGCTCTCCCAAAGCAAAGTTCTCTGAAGGAAGGTACTAAATATGTAAATAAGAAAATAAACCAACATCATTATCTTAACAAAATCTATTTTCTAGCTTTTACTGACTTTTTTTTTCTTAAATTTTAGATGAATTACTGTTTTCTTTATGTGAATTTTTGTGTTTCGTTTCATACAGATTACTATCAGAAAAGTCCCACCAGTGTTACTGGTTTTACTTCCTGAAGGGGTTCTCCCATGTCGCAGTTAAATGTGCTGTCTTAAACATTGATGACAGAGAGAGGTTTTGCCCTGTGAACCTGTCTGATTCTGGAGCCAGGGTAAACTTTCAGCACCTGTGGTGCCTGTAGCAAGGAGCCCCAGAGCGTGACTGTATTTGGGTGAAGATCCTTCTTGTTTGGCTCATTTTGAGCTTGCCACCAGGTAATTTGTTCAGACGTTGCCAAGCTGCTGGTCTGCAGGAGGCAACGAGCTGTCCATCCTGTGCACACTCTCTTACAGACGTTTTTCATATGTCGTCTTTATCATCTTTTTCAGGCTGAAAGTTACTCGCTAAGCCAGAGACTGTGTTTGCCTATGCCCTGCTTTTCATCACACCTTTGATTGTAACTTCTCGTGCCACCACTAGTATATTGTGTTGTGGCTAATGTTACTAAAGGCACAGAGAAGCCATCAGCCTCTTGGCAGTGTCAAGATATGTGTTGGCACACTCAGCTGAAATCAGCAACTGTTGACACAGCTGATAACTGTGTTCCTTTCTCTCCTCTGAGATGAATATGCATTTAAAAGAAAACAAAGTAGGGTTAGTATTTCAGACTTTGGATTGTAATGAAATTGCTCTTAGAAGTAAAAAAGTCCCTAAACCATTATGGTGGTGTTACACTGGTCTTTAAATATTTTCTATTTTTTGAATCTGTATCAAGCAGAAGTGGGTGTTCATCTTGGGTTTTACAGTTTGCTTTTCTGCAGCCCTTCTCGTGCCTCATTCAGAATCCTGAACAGAAATCATGATAATAGGAAGCCTACCATCAAGAATTCTG